AACCCTCTCTGAGGGGCGTATAATTTCATCCCCCAGCCTGAGAGATGGAATACTTGGCCAATCTTTGGGAGGGAATGACCAAGCAAACCTTGCAATTGTCCTAGTACTAATACAAGCCCAGTTCCATTACCAACCTGCTGTAGTACAGGATGGAATTTCTGACACTGGTTTAAGAAAAATGTGTTAGATAAGTGGAAAGTATAACTCAGCATAGTGGATTAAGGAAGGTTAGGGTAATGCTATTTTAGGAACAGAGAAACTCAATTAACAATCAGATACTTATATACCATCAATAAAGTGATTTGCGTATTTTTGGTTTATACAAGTGATATGTAAGTTCATTCTGTATAGCTCAGAGTTAAATGTGAACCAGACCATAAGTTGTTGTTCAATATACATAGTTTGAAAAAAAAATCTTGGCTCAGTATTATGTACAAATAACATTCATAAAACAGAGGCTATTTTTTATGACACTTCCTGCTTTCTTCAACACTACAATGCTTTTGTTTTTTACTTCTCCATTTACAAGCTTCCTTACTACATGAGAACTGAAACCTAGTTATACAAATACATTTGTGGAAAAAAAGACTACTTGCATTTAGTTAAATGGGGAACTATACTTACTAGAAATAGCTTCCTCAAATTTAAGAGGAATACGTTCTAGTAATGAGTCTTTCCAAAGAGAAATTTTCCTCCAGTCAAACTCAAATTTATGGACATATTTCAGATTTCCTTGGCATAGTACTGGAATGGTTTGTCATTAGCTCAATGGCATTTGAAGTAAAGGAATGGCATTTCCTCTTTCTAACTGGTTACAGTCTTATTTTTCTTGATGGTCTCTGATCCAATACTTTGCATACAAGGCTTGGTTCTCTCAGCATCTCTTATAAAGATGTGCAGTAGATAATCATCATCATGACTTACTATATGTGATAATCAAAAGCAATGGAGATAGTTTCATTATACCAATGCTTGCTATTTCAAAGAAAATGTTTTAATAAAACATCATAAAACAAAGAACACAGGGAAAACACATGGCTCAATTTTATACATGCCTACTTCAAATTAAGCCATTTGGAAGGTTTAATCTTTAGCTGAATTGTGAAACAATTGTCATTTCAATTTGGCAGCAATATACACAAGATTTCCAAGCAGTTATGAGCACATCTGTCTTGTGTTGTTACAGGGGATTTGGGGGGAACTGAAGGGAATTGAGATGCATTCTCTAATATACAAGTCTTTATTGCAGGTCCTTGAAATGTAGTGCTAGTCTTGAGATCTTTTGGTTATTTGGGAGATGGACAGAACACAGTTTGTAATTTAATAATAGCTCCCCAGATTATCTGAAATAGTTTTGGCAGGGATAAGATATTCCCAGTCCTTTAATAATGGCAACAACAAAATGACCCACTTTCTTAAATTATAATACTGTTCTCTGACAGGAATTAAGTTTATTTCAGTTCTAATAGCCATAACTACCGTAATTCTTGACTTTAAAATTATTTTGGTCTGACTCTCTTTGTTTCCCCTATAAATAAATAAGTTTATTTATAATAATTATAATTTCATAATTATAATAATTCTGAAATTCTAGTTTAAAAATAAAGTAATCTTTGAGTGAAATCTGACCTCTGTTTTAGAACTGTAATGAATTAGCTTTCTCAAAAGAAGAACTAGTAGCAAGGATTAAAGGATTTTGGAAAATAAATTATTATCCAGAAACTGTTGTTTGTTTCTTTGTTTTTCAAAGATCTTTATGGATACACTAAAGTACTTGCAGACCAAAGAGCTCCTACCAGATGTGGATCCTGAGTTATTATTTGCAAACCTGGAAGAATTAAATCAGGTGACAAGGAACTTTAGTGATAATAAAAATGTGACCATACGAGAATTATTCATGCCACCAAATTAATATAATGGGTAATAGCAATAGCAATAGCTCTTAAACTTATATACCACTTTACAGTGCTTTACAGCCCTCTCTAAGCGGTTTACAGATTCAGCCTATTGCCCCCAACAATCTGGGTCCTCATTTTACCCACCTCAGAAGGATGGAAGGATAAGTCAAATTGCAGGGAACAGGTAGTCAGCAGAAAAAGTCTGCAGCAGTGGTGGGTTTCTACCAGTTCAGACTGGTTCAGCCGAAAACGCCTTCTCAGTGAACCGGTAGTAAACCGGTTAGGAACCCATCACTGGCCTGCAGCACTGCACTCTAACCACTGCGCCACTGTGGCACAGTAATAATTAAAGAAAAATATTATTGGTATCAAAATAATCCAAATGCTGCTTTTTTAAAAAATGTAAATCTCTAGAAAATTGAAATAGAAAATACAAAATATTAACTTTTCCAAAGCATTTTTCCCAAAGTTGTGGTTTAATTATAAAGTATGTTATATAATCCTACATTGAACAGAAATTGGACTCCTGGTCTAAGTGGCTAAAAACTGTGTGCTCACCAAATCTGACATACTTTTTTAATAATCATCCAAAACTCATTTTAGTGTCTGTTAATAATTCATAGACATGTCCTTATTTTAAGCTGGAGAAAGAAAAAAGATCCTGACATCTTAATACCAGCATTATAAAAGAATGCCTTTGGCTCCCTGTCTTGGAATGATACATAAGGTCCAGAAATATATTTTAATTTAATTTCAAAGGAACGTTCATAGTCTGTGCTACGCAAATTCAACAGATCAGTCTCCCATCTCCCCCAAAAACCTGGACCCATCTAGAATGGTTCATCTTCAGTAATAAGATTTAAGAAAACGTTCCATTGAAAACAGTGGAAAGTTTTTTGGCCAAGCCTAACTTGGCTGCCCAAGGAAGGATCTGGGAAAATGGTTAGTCACTTGGACAAATTCTCTTGCAGTGAAACAACTAGGCTTGAGAACTGAAGTGGAAGAGAAGTACAGCAAGTAATGTTTGGGAAGATTAACAGGAAAAATAGCCTTTTTTCTATGTGGTTGGGGTGCCTTTCTGCCAATTACAGAGTGACATTTCCCAAAGGATTTTCAAGCCCCAGTTGCAGCAGATGAGGTGGTCTTTCCCTGCTGCACAAAAAGAGCCCTCTTCAGTTTTTAATCCTATCCACTTTTATTTGCAGAAACTGTCCACTTCTAGCCTACAGGAGTCAGAAGCTTCAGTGGAAAGGAATGTGGCTCATTTTATTTATTAAATTTATATGCCACCCCCTCAGTGATAAGGTGACTCTGGATGGCTTGCAAACCTTACAGATCCTCATACCGTGCATATCTTAAAGTTTAGTATTTGATCCAAAATTAATTTTAAATAAATATATTCTTTGCTTAGGTGACTCTAAGTTTTGCAACCAGTTTATTTAGCACCATGGAGGATCATCTTTTTGGGCGAACCCCCTCCCTTGATTTCATCAGTGTACTCACAAAGGTAATAAGTTACTGAATACGGTACATTCCGTTATGAACCTGGTAAGAAATGTTGGAAAGCAGAAGTTTCAATTTCCCAAAGAAATCCACAATTCTGTCATTTTAGTCTCAAATCACTATGATGCCACATAAAAAGGTATTTTAGCCACAAGCGTTCAAAGTGGCTTCCTTTCCTCTAGCTATGATAATGTGTCTTTCCCAAATCAGTTAACTTCTGGGTATGTAGAATATTTTGGTGCTTTTAATTTTGCAGGCTCCAAATCTTTGGTCATTGTGGCTAGGATGAGGGATATGGAAATCTGGCCTTTGGATATATTTGTTTGGACAACTACATACAATGCAACACCATCACAGCAGTGAAATTTTGCTTTAGCAGACTAATTGGGAGGAAAGGTCTCTGTTGTTGAGAATGGTCCATTGAATGGAAGAATAGGGCACGGCAGTTTTATATGATTTGAATGATTAAGTTGTGATGTACATCATGCACACTATACTAGTTGAGTAATTCTCTGATTATCCAAAATATACAAATCACAGCAGAAATTTGGTCTTTCATATCCAACGTCCCTTGCATTAAGTCTGGTAAATTGAGGTTTTGGGGATAGTTTCCTTTTGTAAGCCAAAGAAAACCAATAGGTTCCATGATCCTATCCCTATTTCCTGAGAAATACAGTAAATTCTATTTCTATTCTATTCTATTTCTATTTATTAAATTTATATTTTTAGTTTCACCAAAATCAATGAAACAGCCTAAACTAATGCACTTACTATGTTAAACCTTGCAAATAAGGCTGGATCATACCCAGTGTATTTTTGTTTTTGTAAGAATCATGATCAAAAAACTACGTAATATTAATACATAGAAGGTTCAGCATCATGGCTAGATAAAAATTTCAAGGCAATTTTTTTAAAGCAACACATTTAGTATGCTGAGTCCCTCCTGGAGAAGGGCGGCATACAAATAAACCAAATACAAATACAAATACTTTGTACTCTGTAAGTGCATAATATTTTGTTTATTTTCCAGTATTTCCAAGGTAACCTGTGTCAGAGCCACCAGATATACTGTCTGACTTACACTTCTGCTATTTTTTACTTGGAAAAATTGAAAAAAAGAGAAGATTTTGGGACTTATTTGAAAGTAAACTTATTAATTTTGTCTTTGATATCTTTTACAGTGTTTAAACTGATTTCACTATGTCCGGAATAAATGACTAAGGGGAAGAGAAAGAGAGAGAGGAGAGAGGAAAGAGCAGAAAAAGAGAAAGAGATTCAATCTGCTTTTAATTTAATACTGACAGAATTTTGTTGCTGATCAATGTGTTAAGTTCTGTCAAATGACTTTGGCTGATCTCAGAAGCTAAACAGGGTCATATCTGGTTGATAGTTAAATGAGAAATGACCAATAGGGAGGCAAGAAAGTCTGGAAGGAAACATAAATATTTACAGAAAGTAGAAGTGGGAAGTCATCTCAAAATTGCTGCCAAGGAAAAGAAAATACATATGTTTATGAAAACAAAAATTAGCAAGTCAGACAACACAAAAAAAGCTTTAACACACATTTTTAAGCCACATTTTTAAATGTTGAACACTTTCTATTTCTGTATTGTAACTAAAAGTGTTTTTGAGATTTTTTTATTTTATTAATATTTTTAGTTATTTTGTATAGTTGATAGCTAAAATAATCTATTTTTGTTCAGTCAAGAAGGAAGTCATTTCTTTATATATTTCTTTTTTTACTATGTACTTATTTTTTCTATTCCTATTCTTATTTCTATTTTTCTTTTTTGCATGTCATATTTTTTATTCTTTTATTGCTTTAGTTTTTCTTTTTATGTGTAATGTTTAAAAGTAATAGTATAAAAGTACTATTAAAAAGTTTCACTTAAAAATAGAATTATTTGCAAAGATGTAAGTTATCCAATAAATAATGTCATATTCAGTATAAACTCAAGAAATAAATCGTTTATGGTATCCCTAATATCCATTCTGTTAAGAAATCCCATTGAAATTGTTCCCTAATGTGTGTTTTCCGTCGAATTTAACAGTGGTGTGAGCAGAATAAAGAATGTAAGCGACTCCATCTAGCTGAAATGTTAGTTGCACCTTTACACAAGTTGACCCGCTATCCCCTTCTGTTAAAGAACATTTGGAAAAATACAGAGGCAGCAGAGAAAGTTATCATTAATTCACTTAAGGAAAAGGTGGAAACATCAATAAGTGAGTAAAGAAACATCAACGCTGCTTTGAGATTTGTTCTATTCCGAGTTTCTCAAAGAAATGTGCAAGAAGTTGTTTTGTAATTCTAAGAAATAAAATAGCAATGCAAGGTTGATGTTACAGTGTTATATTTCCACTGTGTCATTTCAAAGACTCTAATATCTTTCAGTTTGGTTTTTTTTCCCCTCTACACAAGCCTTAAATTACCTCTGAAGGCCTAGGGAGTTTGCAGACTGAGATGTGGCCAGGGTTAGGGTTAGGATTAGCCTTCTCCATGTTCATCCCACAACACTGATATGGACCTTGGCTCTTGTTTTATTATTTTTGTTTTGGAAAGCTTTCTTGTTCCTTTTGTCCCTTTCTTTTTTTTATTCTCTGTGGGGGTTTTAATCAATTTTAATCAATTTTGTTTCTATTTTTAGTTCTAACTCTAGCAATTATTTTAAGTATTTTATCATTGTATCTCATTTTTTTTTAAATTTTATGCTACAGGTCTTATATTTTTTTATGTTTGCTGTTGTTACTAGAAATACTTCTGAGTTTTACTGTAAGCTGCTTGGGGAACCTTTTTGTTCTGAAAATTAATGTACACATTATTTAATACTACTATCAGTATTATACTGAAAAAAATCAACCTATTCCAATTAGAATAAACACAAGAAACTAAAAATCAGACAATTCGGTTCTTGGGTGTGTGTAAACATTCACTACTTTGTGCGAAGATTGCTAATGATCATCATAATTTGCCACGATAAATGTTTATAGAGATATTGTTATCAGTCATCAATTCTTGACTTTCTGTGGCATATTTTTAGGGGATTTGGAAGGTAAAGTGAAATGGCTGGATAATTTTCAGAAATTTAAACAGCTTCAAGAAATTATAATTTGGCCTTCACTTTGGGATCAAGAAAAGAGACATTTTGTTCCTGAGGTATGCAATTTCTTGATTATCACAGAAAATTTTATAGTAGTCTTTAATTTTCCTCACCTATGAATTGTCATACAAATGAAGTAAAAGATTCTAACCATTATCACATAGTGTGGAATATTCCATCTTTGTGGCAGGTAGATCACAATATTCAGTCACAATATTGAATATAAATGTTTACTATCTGTTGATTATTTATTTCAACTGATGCATCACAGTATGAACTATGAAGATTGAAGGGTCCCCAGGCAAGTATGGCCTTGGAAACTCTAAAATGAAAATTTTGTATTTTCACCCCTTCAGTTCCTACCCTGTCCTTCTAGTTGCTCTTTTATAACATTTGTTTAATGTTTGAATATGGTATATCATAGTTATACTCAGCACTTTCATTTCTTTGGTCAGCCTCCAAGAGAAGAAAGTATGACCAGAAACAAATATGTTTGTACATTGCTGAAGTCAGAATCCCTGATCTCATTAACAAAGCAAGGCTAATGATTAGTGCTTAAGAACTTTTTGTTGTGAAGTTTGTATATGAGATTTGATTCTTGTAGCCCTTAACATTATCATGGTGTGTCAGTTTGTTTTTTATTGACATCTACTTGTTACTTATTTTCTTTACATTTTCAAATAAAATGGACTTATCTACTAAGTGGCCTTTTCTGGCTTCCTTTTCCCCCATCTTAAGTCTCTCAAGTACATGCTAAGAGATAATTCACATGAAAACATCTTGTCACCTACAAAGAGATCACTTATTTTTGAAGGTCGATTGACACTTTCAGGTAAATATACAATATTTCATATTTGGCAGGCATATTAGACAGTACACAGGATGAAATAACTTCCAAACCTCATGAAAGAACAGAAACAAAGTCTTAACAAAATGAGGCAATACATGTTATCCAGGCAGAATTTCTAGCTCATTTTTTTGTCCAATTCTGGATATATACTATTTAATAAGTAAAAGTACATGAGTATAGTTTGAAATCAGAGCATTAATCATAGAAAACTAGGGCTTCCATAAATGCCATAAATGTTAACTATTCAGAGATTTCATAAAATCAAAATAGTATCCCTCTCCATGGTTTGCAAAGTCAAAGTCTATTACTTAGACATGACCAAGTGAATCTCCAACAGGTATTCCCTTGCTTACATACAGGTATTCCCAGGATTGGTTCAGCAGTCTACTAAAGTATGAATTCTTGAGGAATTCTTTTGTTCAGGCAGTTATGGGTGCAACTCCTTTCTCTTTGCAGTTCTCTTATATTATGGGACTGGGGTTTTTCCCTGATGAATGTAGAACTCCAGACTTGAAATCCATAGTGTGCCCTAAAGTTAAATCTGCTGCTACCAGTGCTTTGCAAGCATTTAATTAATTCAGTCTTGTAGATATGATTGCTAGAATTTTTATATGAAGATCTGTTTTTACACTGTAGTCCATACAGTAGCACTGTGATTGATATCAATGTTTAATAATTCAAATAAAAATTTAATCTCTTTATAATTTTAAAGTTGTAGAGTATTAATAGGAAGGAGCTGCTTTCTTCTAATTACCTCATATATAAAAGGATATTATAAAATCAAAGACCATTGGTTAGAAAACATAGGTAACATACTTTTCAACTTCTTCCAAATTTTTCTGTTAGACCTGCCAAAATCAAGAGGTAGTGAGGAGCTCAGAAAATAGTTTTGTTTTTAATATATCTGTATCATGGTTCACCTTTTATTTGCTTTGCAGAATCGATGAGATTTACCGATGTCTATCTGTTTCTGTTTGATGATTTGCTAATGATTACAAAACCTAACAGATATAAAAAGGTAACAAAAGAAAAAAGAAAAGAAAGAGAAAAATAATAATCAACTGCTGTTGTATTTATATACATTTTGACTTGTTGGCAACAGGAGTTGTAGATAACTGGCAAAGCAACTATTTAATTATCAAAGAATTCAGAAGAGGACTAAGGAATTAAACTTTTGCAAAAAGCTACCTGACTTATTTTCAGAACTGTTTCATTCAACACTTGGAATTGTCTCCCTTTTTTTCTTCTTCCCGAGACAGTTTCTGATAGAGAGCACATTTAGAAAGACATACCTTACCAAACAAGCCCATTGTTTGTTTACATGGAGGAATCACTTTTTGGAATGGCCCACAACTTCTATTGTTCACCTTAGTGCCATCCTGAACAACAACTTTCGAATCAGCAGGAACCAATCTTAAGAAGATGGAAAAATATAGATGAAAGAGATGGCAGATGGAAATAAGGAATTTGCAGCAGTCTAAACATGTCTTGGTATACAGAAATCCCTAGAAATTGGGGGGAAATAGACCTACTGAAATGCAAAGACGTAGCTTAGCTGGGCTTACAGGGAGGGAAGAAGCTTATCCTTGAAGATCAACTTTAAAGGAACAAAAAACACTCTTGTAAAGCATACACTAAAGCCATTAGTTTATTCTTTGGTGAGAGTTAGTCTCCCAGAACAGAAGGGCTTTAAGGGTTGCCATGACAGAAGCCAAGTCTTTGGAGGACCTGTAATACCTGCTTATGTCAGCCATGTTTGTTTTTAGGATTTGGTTCCATACTTTCAATATCTTCTATTTCATTGTGCATAATAGTTATTACAGCTTGGCTGAAGGATATTGGACAGGAGCTCCCCTTGAGTCTCTTCATAATAGATAGAAAATACAGTTAATATTAATAACCAGAGAATGTTTTTGGCTTCTGTCAAAAGCTGTACAAAGTATGACTTGCTTCAGAAAAAACACTAAGATTGGGCTAGCTGCAATCATGATTTGTTGAACAATGTATATTGGCCTTGTTCAAGCATAATGCTATGACAGGACTGTCAAACTCCCAGCCTTCAGGCCAGATGCATCATGTGCTGCCCACACTCACACCCAGTTTAGCAAAGGGAGGGAAAGTCCCAATACGTCATGTGACGCCGCCATGACGATATGAGTTTGATATTCCTATGCTATGATTTCTTGAGCATGATCATTCACATTTCTCATTAAGCCAAAAATAAAGATACCGTATTAGGTTTTAGCATGCTAGATACTTGTAGTAGAGCTTTTGATAAAAGCAGGAAATGGCCCTACTAATATGAATATTAGTAGCTAGATTTAGACATCAACTTCACATTTCAAATAATTTTGTCTTTTCTTTTCCTTCCTCCTCCTTCTCTTTGAGCATGCCCAAACTTGTGTCAGTATGTGTTTCTGAGTTAGTTTCCTGTCTTCTTCCAAATTAATTGGTTTCCTTTTCCTCCATTCCATCTGCCTCCCATTAATTGAACTATAAAGGTTAATTAAACTACAACATATAGTAGCGGATTTAAGATGAGCTTGCTAGCTCTTCCTAAAGTTTCTATTTCAGTGGCAATTGTAGGCAGGGATATCAAAATTGACAAGAACATCATTATAAAGCCCCTAGATCTTTTGAAGTATGTGCACATAAATGCCAGGCCTTGCATCGCAACACTGTATCTGCCAACTTGCCATTTTTGATACCAGCCCTACTTCCACCCTCACACTACTGTTTATTTCTATGTATTTATCTCAGAGGATCCTTTTTCCTATGTCCTACAATTTAGCTGCTACTTACCTTAATTTGAATCTTTCCTGCTTTCCCCAAAACCATGGATTGTAAATATGTTTTTCATTTCATTTCAGAGATTTGACTTGAGTTTAACACCTGCTTCTTCTTTCTTCAGTCTGGAGTTGAAATCTTTGCTTGAAGAAGGTGGTAACTGCATAGTACTTGGCCAGCCTATCCCATTAGATAGAATGATGGTAAAAAATATTGATTCATTCCATATCACAGGTATGTTAAATCTCTTTGCCGGAGATTTTAAAATTTGTTCATGTCATATATACAATATGTTTTGAGGGCCTAGTCATCTACATCTCTTTAATATATTAAGAAAACTTAAACAATGAACAGGGGTGTGAAGCTTTTCCAAAAATGCCCACTTTCATTGCAAAACCTCTAAACATTCATTGCTTGTATGCAACAGCTTGTAAGTAATGAGTAGAAATCGTACAATGCTGAAATACAGTTGGCTTTATTGTATTGTGGATTTGATTTTTATAGTGTGCTGGGGAAGAAGCCAAAGTGATTAGACAAACCCACAATTTAGCATTGCATTTGTACTCATTGTTAAATATATACCCTCTATTCTTACTACACTCTTTTCATGTGAAAATGAACTTTTGCAAAATAAATCTTATCTACTTTCAAATAAATCTAGTATATTTGAGTTCTCCACTTTCTGTGTCCCCAACATATACTAGTATGAAGCTATAATTCACACCTGGTAGAGGTTTGATACCCTTACATAAAGGGCATCTGATTGTGATATGATTATTATATCTCAACATTTGATTAATTAAATTATATTAATTTGATTAATTAAATACTACCGGTATTATAGTGATACTTCTATCACAATAAATCATATATGTCTAAAACCAACTTCAACTGTTAAAATTGTAATCTATTTCTGCCTGGTATATGGAGGCAGAGATATTTAGGGTCAAATATATGACCAGCAGAGAAAAAATGAGGTACTATTTTGCCCTTTCCTTAGAATAACAATAAGTATGCAGATAATTAAAATGGAAATGGAAAAGCTGGCTTTCACATTCAAATTTAGACTTAATACAATCTATTCTATTAATACAATCTATTATATTTGGAAATAGTAACTCAGACAGTTCTGAGATTAAATATCATCACTTATAAAAGTAGCCTTTTCTTAATATTGATGAAAATGCTATCCCGTTATTTTACTAACCTCTTCACAGCAATTGAAAGGGATTCCTGTGATGATAGCAATAGCAATAGCAGTAGACTTATATACCGCTTCATAGGGCTTTCAGCCCTCTCTAAGCAGTTTACAGAGAGTCAGCATATTGCCCCCAACAATCTGGGTCCTCATTTTACCCACCTCGGAAGGATGGAAGGCTGAGTCAACCCTGAGCCGGTGAGATTTGAACCGCTGAACTGCTGATCTAGCAGTAGCCTGCAGTGCTGCATTTAACCACTGCGCCACCTTGGCTCTTTTGATGAAACAAGAGTAGGAATTAGTAGCAGAAGTGACATTACATGAACAAGAACCAGTTATGAGAAAATGGGATGTCCAAAGTATGTGTGATATTGCACTTTAATTTCCTTGGAGAACTTTGTGCTTAGTACTCAATACTGATTTTCATGGATATTTTTGGAAACTTTGTTTAGTAGTAATTGTTGTTTCTTACTTAGGACCACTTTTTAGACTGCATTTACATCTAAACCTGAGCTATCTTTGTTTAGAAACTTCCGTTATAGGAATAAGACAGAGGCAAAACAAGAAATGGGAGAAATCAACATTAGAGAGTAGAAACACCCATTCTCTTTGATGAGATCTATTTTTATGTATGTATGCATTGCATCCTGGCATCTTTATCTGTTTCCTCCAGTAACAGACTTTAAAGAAAATGAATTAGTTAAGTGATCTCAATGGATTTAATAATTAAAATTCCAAAATGGTTCCATTAAATTAACCCAAAAGCCACTATTGCCTTCTTCTAAATAAAAGAAAGTTAGCTGACAATTCCATTGAAGTTATTCACGGAATTATCTGCATGTACTGTACATCATGTGCTGTATGTGCTGTATAGCAGCAATTACATATTCCTGTTACAAACTGAAAGTCAGTTGTTGTTTATAAAGATTTGGAATGAAGCTATATCATGTTCCTCTATTTCCTTAGCTTTGGGACTACGAAATGCTTTTCTAATACAGCATGAAAATAGATATCAACAGTGCATAGGAGCCTATTTACTTCAAGCACAAACAGAGGTATCCAAGGTAGGGAATTTACTTTGGAAAAGTTTCTTGAAAGCATAATATGTATCCATGCTTATTGGCCTCTTTGATGGATGAAGTGGTACTTCCTTCCTTGAAACAGTGCTGGTGCTTCTCTCCTTAGAGATGGACCATAATCAGATCCAACAGTGTTCAATAACTATCATCCAGTCTCCTTTCTTCTTTCTGGAAAAGATTGTTGAGAAAATAGTTGATCTGTAGTTGATGGGAACTCTTGAAGAAACACATTATAGACCCATTGTAGTCAGGTTTGAGCCATGATTTAGTATTGAGACAGCTTGGCTTGTCCGTGTAGATAACATTCAGAGAAAGGGTGGCGGTAGTGCATCCATCCATGTGCTTTTTGAACTCTCAATGGTTTTTTGATACTGTTGACCATGGTATTCTTCTGACATGCTTCCCTGGGCTAGGGATGGTGACATCATTTCACTCTTGACCCCCTTTGGTAGGGTGCCATCCTTTTTTTCAACATTCACATAAAACTGCTAAGTTCAGTACCATTATCAATACATGGATAATATGTAATTATATCTCTTGACCCTGGGCTGCCCTCAGTGTGCCATGTAGCACCTCTGCTTTATGAACTGCACTAGCTGCCTGTTTTGTTCCTGTGCAACTCAAGGAGTTGCTATTCCTATAAAGCCCTTTATGGTATCCTAATTATTTGAGGGGCTACCTATCTCCTGCAGCATTTGCTCAGCCAATTCAATCCTGCAAAGTTGGCACAAAAGTGCTTGTGATTACATAATGCTATTGATTGGAACTCTAGAAGCATTCTTTCCCTGTAATAGCACTTGCAATATGTAGTGAGTTCCCCCCACCAGTTAGCCCCCACTGTTTATGTTGTTTTGAAGAATCTTAAAAACATGGCTCTTCACCCCAGCCTTTAACAAGTGAGGAAGCTTTCTTTGGATTGTGCAGGTTGTTTCTTTTATTTCTGTCAGTTTTTTCTATTCTTGCTACTTTTTTGTCCTCCCCCCCCCCCGCCGCTTTTGGATGTTTTTATTTGTGAGCTACTCAGGGTCATTGGGAGTTAGTTAGGTGGCATACAAATTCAATAAATAAATTATAAAAAATAATGTAAAGCATTTGCTTTTTTTTCCTCAGAAAACATGGATATCCCAGATGGAAACAACAATCACAAACTATATAAGAAATAACATTTCAAAACCTTCATTTTTCAATACACTTGCTGAATCTGCTGAAATTTAGCTGTAACTTGTAATGTTTTGACTTTTTTAATGTTTTTTAATATTTAAAGAAAATTGTTGAAATGTTTTGAAACCTTTCTGAAATGGGAGTATTCTTTAATTAGAACAGAGTTCAGGGAATAACTGGTATGAACATATGCAAACATCAACCTTTCATTCACCTGCATTTATTAATAAACATAAATGGGGAAAAATCAGAACATTACCATTAAACTAAATTTTTTAACTTACCTTCACGCTTAATTTTTCATCAAACTAACTACAATAGCATTATACTGCTTGTCAGAGAGAATGGTCCCTAAGTGCATAATATGATCTGCCTAAAATCAGTGACAATTAAAAAAAACCTGAAGATAATAGTGATGATGACAAAAGAGATGAAGAACTAGTGAAAAAGAAAAAAATTATAATAATCAAGGCTAATGTGACTATAAAAACTAAAAAGACAAATCATTGGAATTCATATGATGTAGAGATAAATTTGATCATATATCATTTGCTCAGGTTTTTTTGGATTGAACTATTAGCAGGTGGATTCATGATAAGGCTTTGAAATGTTTGTATCTTGGTTATCAGACATTGGAAGAACAGATCATTTGCTAGAATTCATTTGCCATTTTGATGATTGTAAAACAGAAGTGTTCTGTTGTAATGAATTAACAGGGCTTTATGGCTGGAAGGTTTTTCTGAAGCAACCTTGCTAATAGAAAATGGAACAGAAAAGCCACAGTATATGATTTATGTGTTTAGTAAAAAAATTATTACCATGAGTAAAAAGAACCTGACATATATTTGACAACCAAGTTAACTGGAATTTCTCAAGTTGAAAATTACTTCAAAGCCACAGGTAGAAATAATCTTAAATACAATGGCAGTTAATCACTTTTTATTTATGAATTAAAATGTTTTATTAAAGAGTTCATCAGATATTATTTATGAGTAAGTGATCTACTTGGTAGCACCTAGGTAAATGGCTCATTTTGAGAAGCTAAGCAAGATCCAACCAATCTGTTCTTTTGGATGGAAGACCATTGGGAAATATCAACATTAGGGGAAACGGAAAAGGTGGGGGGGGATCTTGAATGAAGGCAATGGGAAATCACTTAGGTAACCAAAACTCTTAACAACCCACCCATCATTTCAGGCAGAATGAAAAGCCACACAAATATAGTATATCCAAAATGATGTTAAGGAATGAGCATGAGTTTGTTTAAGATTGATTGGCAATACAGCATACAAACTATTACTTAAATATGCAAAATCCATTATAAATCTTCCATTATGAGAAGTTTTTTAACCTTTTTTAAATATGATGCATCACTCATTGTGTCAATTCATTCCCCTTAGCAATTAATAAAGGATGCTATGGGATGCTAGTCAAAAAATTGAGATGTTTTGGTGAGACCACTACTAAAAATACTTTCATATCACTTGGACAAGTTGCTGAACTAATTAACTTCCCTTATTGGCTCTTTAGTTCATAAAACAAATCCATTAGGGATATTGGCTCTACAGACTTTTATAGCAATAACAGACATCACATAACCTTTTGGAACATTGTTTCAGAGGTATTTCCTTACTGAAAAACAAATGACCAAGGGTAAAAAAAGAGTAGATGAGAAAACAATTTCCAATTTTCTGCCAGCTTGAATGCAGCTGACTGCTCTTTGGCAGCTGATGATGGGACTGGTCTAAATGACCTGCAGAAAGCTAGGGCAGAACTGATGTTCTGAAACTCCAAGCAGGACTGAAGTGGCCATAAATTTGCCAAATTTAAGTTCCAGAGAAGTCATGGGTCCCAGGCTTTGAATGCATTCTAAAAGTCATCTGAACCCCAAGATGGGCAACAAATAAATTTGATAAATAATGATAAATAAATAAGTTACCTCAAATAAGTTTGAAATGCCTTGGTTTAAAAAATGTTGCCCTATAATGCATTGTTGCATCCAGTTAAAGACTACAAGACACAAAAGTTTTAGTAATACACAGATTGAAATTTTTATACAAACTATTAAACCCAAAGAAGTCAGTGAAAATGATAATCACTTAAAACAGCAATTTCATATTATGGAATAAAGCAGGAAATTCAATCTTGCCACAGCCAAAATATGAAATAGTTGAAACATTCCACTAATATGTGAATTGGAGATGACTAGGTTTGACATTTACAACAGATAGCTTTCCATACCAGCAAAAGTGCACCAAAACAGTAATTGCAAATGGTCTATTAGAAATTTCTAATTTTATTTTCAGCCCAATAATAGAATACAAAAGTAATATTTCCATAAGTATCCACCCATGGGTTTCATACAGAATTAGTGATTGTGTGGTGTCATTTTTCTCACAACTCAGCTTCCATCACTTTCCAAATGCAGAGTTTAGAAATTACAGTGTATACTGAACTAAACTCTTTAACATTATAAGGCACGACTACATGACTACAAGTCATAAACACACCACTCAAAGGACTTAAGAGAATCCACCTGATAAAAATTGCCATGCAAGACTATCTAAAGATAATGTGACTGTAAGGATCCACTTGAAAAAGAAGTGCAATCTTATGTAGATAAAGCTACCTTAATACATCTGTAAATTTAAGCACAGAAATTCTTCAAGTCTAATTTATACAATATACAGACCCCACCCCAATAAACATTATGCACAATATTCACATCTGCGACCATAATAAACCAATAGTTAAAAAGAGGTCAATAGGACAATACAATTTGTGGCACACTTCCATTATAGCATAATAGCATTTGTCAATTTCTTGTCATGAGCACTGGAAATAGAGGCTAACTTAATGACATGTAAATATTAACAGCAGCCAATGTGACACATACAGCTGATATAGATCAAACATAATTAGGAACAATTGTATAATTTAATTCTTCTCCAACACCTACAGGTTTGTAGCATTAAAGGAAACCAAAGACTTATTAACTGTAAGTTACATAAGCAAACATACCGAAATATTACATTTTTGGTGAATCAAAATATTTTAAAATTTGGCAGTAATCACAAATCAAACTTCGTAGTGAGGGAACCATGTTAAAACGGGCTCAAGTTGAGTTGTTTTTTATCAAGAGGTAGTTAAAATGAAATCTTACATAGTGGCATTCTTAGACTGGGCTTTTTGTGTGTGTTTTTAAAATAATTTTATTACAAAAGTGATAAATCCTATACAAGCAGCATTTTGGATAGATTTCTATTACAAAATGTTTCGTTGTTTATTAACCTGATGTAACAATATTTTTTTCTTTCTCTTTGGTGCAAAGAGTTTGGATTTAACCACATAGTACAATGTAGGTGGCATAAAAGCCATTCAAATCTGCCACACTAATCAACAACATATACTGTATTTGAAATTTATAAATTCAGAACGCCAATAACAAACTTTATTCATATGGGTTTTAAAGAGATCACAGGAGAAAAACAAATCTCTGCTGAATGGTGTTGCCTACCACACAAACTATTTTTCTCGTGTTTCCTATGTGCCTGCTATCAAATGATTACATACTGAGGTGAGAAGTTAATGTTAAATATGGACAGACTTATTCATTTTTAACTCCTAAATGGAACTTAAAATAAACCACTTCTAAGCTTTAAAGAAATACTAATATTTCTGTTCTTAAGTAGGGAACTTCCTTTTCTGTTTATTGCTATGATCTGGAAATAGATCATCTAAATATATTTTAATTCAATTTAATAAGAAAACAAATGTTTACATAGGAACAATGAAAACCACTGAGAACATGAAATGTGCAAAATTGCCAAGTCCACTTTTTCTATTCTTAAAATCAAGCAGTGCTGCTAAAGAACATGCAAACCTCTTTAGTATACACTATGTATACTAAACTATGTATCCTCTGGAGTACATAAAATTATGAACATAATATTCCTAAACACCATATGAAATTACTAGGGAATTGAATGAGCACTTAATTAAGAATGTACAATTTTGTAGACCAATTACTGCATCACTTCTTGAAAACATATGTTCCTTCTCTTGCATATAGTGTTGGTTACACTAAAAAGTGCATAGTGCAAGTGACAATGCTATACCTTGCTCTTCCTGAGTTTTCAATGTTTAAACTATCATATCATCCTCATTTCCTTTCTCTGGACAAGCTGAACTTTTATCCATGTGCGTGTGAATGAGTGTAAAACATCTAGGGACTGCAATGAAGGCTAATCCCCATTTAAATGAGGAGCAGGTAGTTTGCTTGTTTTTAATATCCTTTTAAAAATACTTAGAAAAAATGCAAGTAACAGATACAACCTTGGAAAGGAATTTCTCCTTATCTTATACATAGGAAGCCATTTCCAAAATGACACCTGCTACAACACATACAAGCATCATCTTAAAAAAATATTACTTCTCCCTTGTGAATTAGTTTCTTTATATGCTAATTTATGAGATGAAGAGTTCTATACATAATTAATCAACTAAGATAAATCAGAAGACAGCTCCAATAAGCTTCAGTTCCTAGCATGAATGCTTCATATTTTATCTTTTTCCAAATTAGATTAAAGTGAAAGTGAATAAAACAGCTGGATAGTATCTGAATTGTATGTCTATTGTATGAATAGCTGATGTAGAAGATTTGACCACTCTTAAGTTATATTCATATTTCACCATTTGGACATTTTTACCACATGCTGATTCATAATCTTTAAGACTTTCAATCTATTGATACAAAATAGTATAGTTCACAACTAATTTTTCTCCAGGATTTCAGGCAAGAAAAAAATGGTGTGTAAACCCTAGTACCGCTATCTGTGAATTTATGATTTGGAGATACAAGTAGTAGAACTAGAATCTTCTACATGGAAAGCCCCTCTATCAATATATCTTTATTAAACTATTTGTGTTAATTTTTTTTCTACTTCCATATTCATTTCCATGTCTACCACTGCACTCATCTCCCATGCAAACAGGTTATAAAACCAAAGAAAAGTTGATTTTAAATATAACCTTATATTTTACTAATAACCATATTTTACTAAACTAGATTTTACCAGTGCATTATTTTATATCACCAGTGTGCATAGAAGTGTATGTATATCCCAATTTCAACTGAAACAAACATCGTTATCCACCTATTAGTTTAAAAACAGTAATTTTAACTAACTTTCAGATGAATAAAATTACTTTTTAATAAACTCCATTAGATAAAACAAGAGAAACTACGAGAATTTAGGTTTCTCTTCAATCTTCAGCAGTGCTGAGTTTCATTCCAAATTTTAAAGAGGACAAAGATTTATAATAATTAAAATGGGAAACATGCACCTTGAATGTTCCCCCTGCAATTCCTTTCATTGGAATTGTAAAATAATTAATAATTATCATAACTACCGTATTTTTCGGAGTATAAGACGCACCAAGATTTTGAAGAGGTAAATTTTTTTTAAAGTTTTTGCCCTCCCCAGCTCCCAGAGGCATGAAAAATGGGGCATGCAGAGTTTGGGAGGCCTGCAAAGTGCTCCTGAGGGGGGCAAAACTGTGACGTGTGGGACTTGATCTTCTTAAAGAGTAAGGCTTTTATCTATCTCAAAACCACTTTTCTCTACCCCTCCCACGGCAGGGCAGGACTAAACAGCTCTCTCCGCGCTTTATTGTTTTTCCCCTTCCCTCGGACTGGTGGTGACAGTAAGCCGCTTGGCCCAAGGAGCAGTAGTCGGCTCGCTTCTTCTCTTCAGCTAGGAGGGAAAGACATGCGGGGGCTGCTGAATGGCTGCTGCTGTGCTTGGCTGGGAATGGCCCATTGGATGAGAAGGGTGGGGATAGATTCCATTTGGATTAAAGGTTCCTCGTGGCAGCGCCTGAGTGGCAAAAGGGAAGCATAAAGGAAACTGGGCTGCCTCGTCTCACACACACATACACCAGATCCACCCAATCTGTCAGCAAAGAGATATGGTAGCTAGGCTCAATAGCAGCAGTAGCAATAAGCACGGCATGACAGATCTGGAGATTGGGGTGGGAAGGTGGAGCAAGGGAAGAGAACCAATCTCCTCTGCACGAAGACTTTTCTCAGGATCCTCGATCTCCACTTTCTCTCCGGAAAATTGCTATTTGCATTGTCGGGATTTTGGCTAATGGAAGAAGCGCGGGATGAAAAGGGAACGTCGGAATACAGGAGTGCCATATTCCTGGAACATGGCAGCTGCCGCATTCCGAAGTTTCCTTTCCATCCCACAATCTCTGACACCTGGAACCGCAAAGGAGCAGGTAAAGCGGGCGCTGCAGAGATCGCGGTACCAGGTTTTGGGTGGCAACTCAGAGATCTCAGGAACCAAAGTCTTTGAATCAAGGTTGATGGTACCCCATTCCAGGTTTTTAACTTCCCAATCTAGCGTTCTGAGAAATCTAGCATCTCTGAGGCATCTTTTGTTTGCAGGAGAAGGAGGAGGGCGGCTTAAAGCAGCACCTCCTTAAACCAAAGCCTTTGAGTAACTGGGAAAGAAAGGCGTGCTTTTCAGGCAGCAGTTTTCCGCAGGTTCCAAGCTCAGCTTTCTTTTCCAGTTACTCAAAGACTTTGGTATACTCCGCCCTCATCCTCCTCCTCCTGCAAGTGAAAGGTGCCTCAGAGATTCGGCGGGTAGCTCAGGGGAGACAATGGCCACAATGATTTCACTCCCCAGCAGTGTGAGGAGCCGCTTCTACCACCACCACCACCCGGGCCCTCCCTGGAGCAGAGCAGAGCAGGAGCCCCAAAAGCAAAATGTCTCTCCTTTCCAACCATCACAATCTCTGCAGCACCCGCTTCACTTGCCCCTTTTTCAGATGACTCAGCCGCTACATTCGGAGTATAAGACACACCCAGATTTTCACCCTCTTTTTCGGAGTAAAAATGTGCGTCTTATACTCCGAAAAATACGGTATATATTTTTCAGTACCAGAATTTGCTATGCTTGGATCTTCCAGGCAATATTTCTTGTGAATAAGATAGAGAGAACAGTGCAAACATATTTAAATAGTACAAAAAAATGTAAAGGAGCATAGGATTTGCATATCAAAGATGATATAGCCCAACAGGATGCAGCATATTCTTAGAGAAGAAATATCAGATCTACACTAAAGTATTGGGATTGCTTTTCATTTTCTTTGACATATATTGTACAGTGATACTATAGAAAAACAGCTTGACAATCTTGAGAGTTCAAGGCAACTTCCACTCAACTAGACATAAACATAAAAAGGAACTCACAGTAAAAAATTAAGAAGAATAAAGAGGAAAAAACAATAGAAATGAAAAGCTGCTTGTTTGAGGCTATTAATACCTTATGCATTTCTAAACAATCATTAAGTTATACTTATGCAGCAATAATTGAAACACAAAATCCCTGCAAAACTGTTTTAAAGGAGTTGTTTCTGAACCAACAAATTAGGATTAAAAATACATCATAATTCCTCTATTTCAATTTTATTTACAAGTCATTGGAGACTTATAAACTTGACACAGAAGCTCTCTGACCAAAACCAAATAAGTCACAGATAATTTCAACTTCACAAGAAGTACAATTGTTTGACTTTAGCAGTTAAACACTATACTATAATTTTGTCAATTGTTACAATCGGTGCCCACCCAAAGTAGTAGTCTGAGTATTATACGAAGTGCATAACAGAAATTTTACTCTAGCATAACATGTAAGAGTTGTGAGTAATTATCCTTGTAGATCATTGAAACAAGTATCACAGACACGAACAGGTTTCTTAGAAGAAGGAGTTAAGGCATTCTTTGTGGAACACTCAGCACAGAAAATATTTCCACACTGTCTGCAATGGTGCTGAAAAACAAAAAAAGAAAAGTTATGAACACAGGGCATATATAAACTTCATTGCTAAAATAGAAGCCAGTATTATTATTTACTAAATATGTATGTTTGCCAATCTCACTATCAAAGAGCATCTATTCCTAAACTAAGACATGAGCCATGCTTTATTAAGCCTCAATAACTATATTCAAAAAACACATTAAACCAAAATTAGTTAAATCACATCACATTAAGGCTTGAATGCTTGCTTTTCAAATCAGGACTAAACATCAAGCATAAAACCATACAGGGATATTTTTGATGCAACAATTAGCTTTGGTTTAGAATAAATAATAATTAAATATAGTTTGCAAGGAAAGTAAAGGTGAGCATGCAAGTCTAAACTTGCTAACCATGATTTAATATTGTACAACCCGATCTACAATATTTTAAAACACTGAATTACTAGTGGAGCAGATTAAATAACCAAGTATGTATACTATTTTTAGAAGAACATGTCTCCTCATTCAGCAACCTTAGTCCACTCCAATGACTTGGTAATGAAACAAAATGGTTTCTAAGGAAATGTGTGAGACAGCAAAAGAGCTGCTATGAAAATCACTGATTGCTACTGTGTCATTCAGATTCCTCCTCTGCCTTTTTTTAAACTCCCTTGCAAGGTGAAGAGATTGCTTAAACAAACTTCCTCTTCCTAGCCTGCCTTTTTTCTGCAGTGCAGCAATCCCCTAAAAGTAAGTGCAAGTGATAGTTCTATAATCTTAATTAGTCTGTTAGAACCTTCCCACCACTACTGCGTGAAACTGATCAGATCTTAAATCAGTTTTATACCAAGAGTTTTGCTATCAAGCATACAAAATTTAATCACAGATGCACACATTGCTCAGAAAATGATTGTTTATTACCATTTATTACAATTGTATTTGAGAATGATCACTAACCTAATTAGTCAGAAAAAGAGAAGTGGCTGTATTGCATGGGATAAATTTAAAACGTTACAGTCAGTATATTCCGGGTTTTCTATTAAAATGTATTTCTTCATTAGGACGACACTGGACTGCATAAGTTACCATATTTTTCAGAGTATTAGATGCTCCGAAGTAGAAGATGCACCTAGCTTTTGGGGAGGAAAACAAGGGACGGAGGGGAAAATCTACCTCTGCCTCCCAGCAATTTGCCTTTTTGCACCAAACAGCAAACAGTACAGAAGATATACACTGCTTATGGTGTTACATTTCAGACTATACTTGTACAGATGCTGTTAAAATTGATGTGGCTTTCTGGAAGTATACATTATTCTCTGCTATTTAAAAGAAGATACAATAGCACTGGGCCGCTTCAGATCAAGCATTTATTTTAAAAAGCTTCTTTGTTTTGTTAAGTTGCCTAGAATAATAATATAGCAGTCTTTAAAAAATACGTCTAATAATTTGAATATTCAATAGGCATTTATAGTTATTGACTTAAAGTACCTCCTTGCAGCAAACAGCAAACAGCCTATTTCAGTTTAGCCTGATTAGAAGAAGAAAAAAATCTGCCTCTGCCTCCCAGCAATTTGCCTTGTTGTAGCAAACAGCAAGTTTCACTTTCAATTTCAGCACCAGCCTCCATTTTCTGTTTGCTGCAAAGAGGTAAATTGCTGGAAGGCAGAGGCCAAAGGGTGGGGACCGGTGGGTGGTTGGGGTTATATTCAGTGTATAAGACGCACCCAAATTTTCACCCTCTTTTAGGGGGGGAAAGGTGCATCTTAAACTCCAAAAAATACGGTATCTATATACACATATATTGTTGTATATTTCAGTGAACAGACATAGTTCAAAAACAACCAAGCAACAGTATTTAAAGTTTAACCAGACAGTAATAAGAAATATTTTATCTTTCCTATGTAGCATTGGAAGTAGCAAACATTTCTGAAAAAAATATTATGCTAATTTTGTTAAAATACACATGAAATATATTTAAAATGTTTGTATTTTCATAAAATGTTCCTATTTCTAAGATCACAATCATCTATTTCCAGTTATATTACATGCAGTGGATATTAACAAGAGAGAAATATATTACTATCCAGGCTAAGCAGGTGCTCTCATCAAGTTTAAATGAAAGCAAGTGAAAACTTGGCATTGTTAACAAACCTCTCACATAACTGGGTCCAAAAGAAAATATATACAGTATTTTGAATACATTTACCCATACTATCAAAGAAATAGGATATATGAGATTATTTCTTAATTTAACTTTATTAACACATATCATTTCACTTTATGAAAATAAGCTTCATGATATATTCCCATACATACATACCCTTCTTATTGTTACAGAAAAACCTTTTCCACAAGCCATGCAATTCTGAACTTCATTGTCTTCAGCCCATTTCCTATTTAATGCTTGCGTATGTTTGATCTATGCAAAAATTTAAGAAATAAATATCATGTAAATATTAAATCAAAACTTCAAATTATATGAAAACTATGTAATCAAAATTCAGACTGTTAAAACTTGAGAATTATTCCCTTTTTCCCCCTGCCACTCCATATACTCAGATTATTCTACATCCAAGGCCAGCGATTGTTAGACCAGTAGAAGCCAACCCAACCAGATCATCTTATCTTGATCAGGTATGTTGCTTACTTATTTATCTAGGTAATTTGAACAATAATACTAACTTTAAATTACCAATTACTACCTTTCAGCATAAAATGAAATACCTGCAGTGACTGGTTCTCTCTCCCCAGCTCCTGCATGGCTGCAGTTGTATCATCAAGTTTTCTTCGTGCATCCATGACTTTGCTTTGAAGTTTTTCAATTTCTCCTTCGCTTTTAAGGCACCTGTGAAGAGGATAGTACATAAGTGAATAATATTTTAAACACTAAAGGAGGGAAACCATATTCATCAATTGGGTATAATAAGATTATCCTGATAATTATGTCATGAATAAATAAATAGCATTGAGCTGTTATAAGAACACTGTCCCATTTGTTAATTGTAATTATACAAAAATGGTTGACTGCAGCAAAAATTGCAGAAATTTCCACAAAGATGAAATATTTTAACACAGTCTCAGGTATCTATCATCTATTCTCTTTATAATGAAACAAATGCAGAGGTGGAATGCAATAAACCAACAAACCACTCTATATTCTTTCTACCATGTTTCCCCGAAATTACGACATGTTCTGATAATAAGGCCATGCCATATTTTTCCTGAGGGCAAAAATATACACCCTCCCCCAATAATAAGCTCCCTGGACAACCTCCCCTCCAGCCAGGCAGAGTGCCACTCACCAATCTAGCAATATCACAAAGCCACAAAGCCGCAGGAGCCGGGGGTGAGCAAGGCACTCACATTGCTTGACGCCTTTGGGATACCGCTATGTTGGTGGGTGATGCTGTGCCCAGCTGGAGCGGGAGGCTGCTCTCACGAGCAGCCACCCGGCAACACCTCTTTCCAGCTGGGCTCACCGACACAGTAATATTCTCAAAGGCACTAAGCTGCATGGCACTCTGCCCGGCTGGAAAGAGAGGTGGCACGAGCACTTGTTCTGCCTCCAGCTCGCATGTCTCCCAGCCTCACCATGCCCAGCTCTCCCGGCAGGACCAGGCCAGGCCGCTGCCGCCACTATGGCCCCACTACCACCACCGCAGCCCTACTGCCACCACCGCCGCCATGCTCCGAGCATAACCGGCTTCCAAACTCCAGAGATCCACTGCCGAATCTTCCGACAGCGGCTGCTCTTGGACTACTCTCTATGGTTGTGGACTGGCTGTTGAAAGAGTCTGGTAGGACAGAGTCTTCCCGCAGCCAGCCCACAACCATTGAACGTAGTCTCAGAGCGGCCGCTGCCAGAAGACTCGGCAGCGGATCTCCAGAGTTTGGAAGCTGGTTATGCTCGGAGCATGGCGGTGGTGGCGGCAGCGGGGCCACAGCAAATATAACTACACCAACAGATAAAAGTCATCACGTGCAATATAGAAAGTTTAGAATGTCACGCAATCATCAAGCTGAACCTAAGATTATGAATTTTAGCTGGCATTTAGCTATTACTGTTTTGCTTAGCTTAATAGGAATTAATAGGATTTTTTTTAAGTGGAAAAAATCTGATTTAGCACTAAGTTCAACTTATAATAAAGAATGGAAAGAATGTCTTTCCTAATTTAAAATAAACCACTTGAAAACATATTTATCAACTTACCTTTCCAGCAATACTCTTCTCTCATCCTGATTGTTCTGGACAGTAGCTTCGAGAACTGCAATTTCTCCACGCAGATCATCTATTTGTTTTTCTAGTTCACTAGCCCTTCTTTGGCTACTTTGCCACTCTTTCTTCACTGTCCCTAGATTTTCATTCAGTGCTGTGATCTGCATATTTAGCTTACACTCAGCCTCTTCGTGACTTTTACACTGCTCATCTTTTTTCTTGATCAAAGCTTGCTAAAAGAAGAGAAACATTTCAATATAATGCTTCAAACATCTCAAATGACTGCTCGGGTATCATTTTACGAAGAAAGTAACATTTTTGAAGAAAAGCCTAAAAAATGCATGTTCCTTTCTGTGGAGAAAAATGAATTAATAGGGCAAATAACTGGCTTGGAACCTCAGTTGCCAAACAGAAGGGATTTTGTCCAACAAAAATATTCACTAGCTGAAGATTAAAAGTTTGATTTTATTGCTTTTCCTCTAACTCACTAACCCATAACTAACAGTTCCCACAATGTTTCAGAGAGTTTCCAAACTAGAGAGCAGGGCTTTTTAAAAGCCAGTACACTGTGGAAAGAATAATTAATCAAGGAAATTAAAGGAGAATATTAGTTATTTCTTGGAATTCATTATTGCTTCAATTCATGCACAAATATTCAGTATCACAATGAAATGAACTTTGTAGCAGAAATATTGCTTTAAACCAAGTGCTCCCTAGAAAAGCCTACCAGAATTTATTTTTGAGTCCGTAACATATCAAGGATTTCATATACTTAAATCAAAGTATCTATAAAATAGATAAAGTACTGATTGTACATCAGAATTTTATCTATTCCATAAGCAATTTTGCCTTTTACTCACGGGCTATAATATAAAAAGTAAGAAGAAAAGGGAATATTGGAATCTCTCCATTTATAATAAAATTATGCATTATGGCTCTGCAAATCATTCCACAAATCACTTTACTCATTATGGAGATACACCTCTGGATTTGTTCCTAAAATATACTGACCAGTTTTGTTTCAGTCTCAGCACATTTCTTCTTCAATTCCCCTTCTTTCTTCTTCCATTGATCTTTCATGACTTCCTGGTTTTTCTTCTCTTGCTCCATAGCTGTACTAAAATTATCAACCTTTTCCTGTAGTTCTAGTTTCTGTTTAATCAACAGCTGTTTGGCATCTTTTTGATTTGATATCTCCTATTAAAACAAAACAAAAACAAAAATAATTCAATTAAATGAATGTATGAATGAGTTATGTTAATGAACAATACTTGAAAATGTAAGGCCTTTCCCTTTGCAGAATTTCTTCTTTACACTTATTGCAGCTAGATTCCTAGATTGTGAGGCCCTCCTTGAATTTATTCATCTCTCAGTTGGATATTGCAATGCGCTATACTCTATACTGCCTTTGAAGATCAATTAGAAAATCAACTGAAAGCTACCACTTGTGCCAAATGGTCAGCATTAGATTTGAGATACACTGGCTTCTTATAGTTTTTCAAGGGACTGCTTATCACCAAAAAACTCCCTAGATGATACAGGACTGAGTTACTAGCAGAAATGCCTTTTTCAACGGTGGGCATGCCATTGATTTTCTCTCTGAAACAATGTCACCTTTTGAGATCAAGGCAGTGTGCCTTTTCTGTGGTGGTGTCTACCTTCTGAAATGATGTCTTCTCTCTTTCCCATGGCATACAGTTGGCCCAATCTTGCACACCCCTCGAGAGACGGAGTGAAAACCTAAGAAAACGCTTAGGTTTTGTGGTTAATATGATTAGAGCTACAGTTTGGAAGAGTGTAATGAACATCATACCTAATTGCCAATTAATTGTTAATATTTACATAGTTGGTGTAATATTTATTTTAGTTTGTGTTATTTTGTTTTAATTATTTTTTTACTGGTTTATTGTGCTATTCATAGTCAATTAGTTTTGAGTAGGGCAGCCTATAAATGCTTTAAATAAACAAACAAATGAACAACTAGGAAATCTGTAAACTTAGGCAGGAAAGAATTCATCTGAGCTGAAAAAATACTTATCAAAACAGCAGGTTAAAGAAGCTCATTTCAAAGCCAAGTTCACACTTCAGTGCATTTAGGCTGCCTTATAGCACAGTTCTGGAACAATGNCTATCAGAGTCTGTTTGCAGCTCCAACGGCTCCTGCTGGGCCACAACACTCAACTATCTATTATATAATTATTAAACATATTGTCAGGCCCGAAATTGAACTGGAAGCGGCCATTTCTTTTTTCAGGGCTTTTGGCTGACACATCTGAAGGAGGGTAGTAATATAGGGGTTTTGTGGACTAACAGAATAGCTCTTTGGTGAGTCAGAGACATTCCAACAGCTGGCTGGCCAGAGGAGGAGGAGAGATGTAACCAGGCAACCAGCTAGTATCCAGATTGGACAGTGTGATTTATTGTTTTGGAAAGATCAAAAACATTTTCTTTTAAGGTTGTGGAAAGCCCGGGAATATTCAGAACTGGCTTTCCACTAGTGGGTGCTAAGATGCTATTTCCAATAAAGACTGTTCTTTGAGGACTTAACCTGCGTTGGAGTTCTGCTTTGAAATGGAGGCATTACTTGGAATGCTGGCACATATTTCAACTGGACCAAAATAACAGCAATGGTCACAAATAATAATTGCCAAATTGCTGCAATTATATAAAAATCTCATAACATCATGAATTAAAATATGGTTATAATTTACAAAGCCAGGCCTCAGAGCTTAACTAACTGATCAGTAGTAGTTCCGTTTTTAAATCATTGGAATGTTAGCTATGAGCTGCTTGACATTATTTTTGAAACAACATAGCTTGCTAGGAACAGGATAAACAGTTCATCCTAGACCTCTTAACACTAAGGGCATGCTTTCTGTTTTGCCAGACACCGAATGTCATGTTCTAGACATCAATAGGACTTTATGCATTCTCACAGTTGATGCCACAGACAAAGCTACAAGATTCCCTAAGAAAAAATTCAATCCAGATTTTTCTGGAGCTCAACAGTATTAAAAATAGTAAAAGGGGAAACAAGGTGATGAAAAGTATTCACATTAAAATCATATAAAACATTCTTCAAGCAATATGATTAGATAAGTATCATATTTCAATTTCTTTTAAAATGTAATTAGAAAGCTTTCAAGATGCATTCCTAACTAATCAAAGTCTTGTCCTCCATAAATAGGACTTCCAATACCTACAGGGCACAGCAGCTCAATTATGCGTACCTCTAGAAACCATCTAATCACTTGTAAAAAAAATATTATGCAAGCTAAAACAATGTAGTTTCCATTAAGAGCTGCAGTGCATTATATAGAATGTCAATAGATGACGCTTCAGCACTACTCAAATTGAGAGAATTTGTATCAGAGCCATTAAGTCTACAGATATATATCAACTTTTGATAAAGAAACCTTGAATACTTCTTTCATATCAATTAAATTTAAAAAGCAAAGCCACTTAGGAACAAGTAGTTATCAAAAATATTGTCAAGAAACAATGATAAATGTTTCACTTACACAAATTTCAAAGAAATCGCAACCAGATTTAGTTTTTCTGAAAAGGAGCAGATACTTTGATAAAGGATATATTTGTGAAATGATTTTGAAACCAAGACATGAACAGAGAGACAAGAAACATAACACTCAGATGAAGTCTCATGGGGGTCTCAATGTTTGTATGCACAGACTTGAATTCTTTAAAAAATGATGTGCTTTCTATCATAAAGTGGCAACTGTGATGGTACAAGCCACTGGGGGAAAAAACATATTTCACAAGATAAATATAACTTGCACATTAAATAAGGAAATACACATGTACATACAACTTCCTGTTAACTTTATAGAAGTTACTGTACGTATTTGAATTTATTCCAAAATTGAATTTATTCCAAAAGCAATTAGCTTTTTCTCTGACTCCACTTTGCTGTATCCTTGAATAAAAATACTAAATTGAAAAGTATAATTATTATTTTTTGTACCTAACCTAAGAAATGGCCTTATCTACATCAGTGGTGGGTTCCAGACCCTGTTGCAACCGGTACGGTTGCAATGGGGCCCAGCATCCTCCACATGAATGCGCGCAGCATGTACATGTGTTTTACCATCCAGCGACACCTCCGTGAGCCTCCGCAATGTTCCAACTGCTTGGCGGAGAGTCGTGCAGGGTTTAAAGACAGGTAAGGAGCGTGGGTGGGCAGGTGGGCCCTCCGGAGCACTGTACCGGAATGGTACCCGGTGCTCCGGGCAGGCTCCAGTATGCCCATACTGGGTTGTACCGCCTGCAACCCACCACTGATCTACATGCCAGACCTCTATGCATGCATAGCTACTATCTTAAGGAAATTAAGAAAACCTTTGGAAAATGAGTCTGTCTTCCCTCATTGGTACAAGTCATAATCTTGGATTCTCATGAGTTCAAGTAGAGTTTATAATCATTAATCAAACAGGTAGAAGGAATTTTGGCAGCTTATTCTAGCAAGTAGGGTTGCAGGTGCACATTATTAGTTTGGGAAATATGGTCATAGAAAAGCCTGAGGCTTGTAAAAATAATAAATATGAATAAATGAGGACATGTGAAAGGTAGAAGCATGAAAAAGCAAGAGGGGACTGTGTCACTTACCTTTTAGTGCTTTTAAACACAAAAAAGTGAAAGAAAAACATACTATAACAATATCAACGAGGATAAAGCAAGACAGATAAAAAACAGAAATTGAGGGAGGGTAATCGATATTTGTAATATTTTATGATACTTTGTTCTTGCAAAAAATAATCCCTGAGCAGCCCAGCTCTTATTTAACACTGTTGTACTAGTGCAAGAATTGGTCAATAATGGAGGGTACATTTAAAAAAAGAGGGTTTCATTTTATGAAAAACAAATGATTTTATTCCTGAGAGGCAAAACACAGGATTATGAAGCAACACAAAGAAAAGTTAACACTTCAGTATTAGGAAAAAAATAAATGATGAGAGTACTGAAAGGGACCAAGGATTATTCCTTCTAATGATGTCATCTTCCTGCATCATGTTCACTTGGCAGAGATAAAAATAACAATAATATAAGCACAGTTAATCTAATCTTATTAAGTGTTCACAGAAGGCAAACTATCCAAATCAGGGCTGTAATATTTTTGCTTTATCCAAGAGTTCTCAGAATGTTACTTAATTTAATACAAAATAAAACTTCCAGAAAAAGAAATTAAGGTTACCAATAGGAAAGAAAAGTACCCCTTTATGTTGAAGAAACACGGGGTAGAATAGACAAAATCCCAGAAAAGATACAAAAAAGGCATTTTCACAAAAAAACAAAATTAATGTCAAAACATATGAAAGGTGAAGTGTGCTTTATAGGTAAAGCATTAGTAACAACTGTGTTATAACAAATCTAATAAAAGTATTCTTTCCAAATGACAAATGCCAATTTGAGAAACTCATGCAATTAAATGTCTGACTGATGCTTCCTTTCATTAATTTCCTTTAAATGAAACAACTTTGGTGACATGGGACTATAGACGGCAGAAGGAATTAGTAAAATACATCAGGATCATCAGCTCTGTAGAAAGGTTTGTCTGCATCATAGCCTGAAATGAAAACAGAAGGAAATGCCAAAGGCACTTTATACATCTTCCTTGAGTAATTTTATCACAAACTACTCCAAATGGTATTATATATTAAGTCCCCAAGGAAACCAGGATCTTTATAATTTAAACAAACAAGATGTTCACTGGAGTTGGGCAGCCAATAAATAAAAATAAATAAGTATTTTTTTCTGTTGATACAAAGGTAGCAGTTTGATCATTTTTAACTCTTTAATATTTCAAATGTAGTGTTTCTGCTTCTCTTTTCACATTTACAAATACTGCAAAATGTGGATCCTGTGCAAACAATTGGAAAAGCTTGGGAATATCATTCCTATCCATAATGATATAATGTCTATCCTATCCCGAAATTTAATTAAAATCAAATATGTTCCTCAATTATGTGAGGAAGTCTTGAAAATATTGGATAGAAGCTTGCAAAAATATCAAGTTACAGAACTGGTTAATTGAATCAATAGAAAAATTATCTGGAGAACCATAGCCGGTCACAAGCCCGGATAAATGGGGAGTGTTGGTTCCCGTGGCGACGGAACCGTGAAACAAGCTGAG